CCCACCCAACCTGGCCTTGAACACTTCCAGGGATGGGGCATCCACAACCTCTCTGGGCAACCTGTTCCAGTGCCTCATTACCCTCATAGTGAAGATTTTCTTCCTTACATCTAATCTAAATCTACCCTCCTTCAGCTTAAGGCCATTATCCCTTGTCCTATCACTACGTGCCCTTGTAAACAGTCCCTCTCCAGCTTTCTTGTAGGCCCCTTTTAGCTACTGGAAGGCTGCTATGAGGTCTCCCCGGTGCCTTCTCTTCTCCAGGCTGAACAACCCCAACTCTCTCAGCCTGTCCTCATAGGAGAGGTGCTCCAGCCCTCTGATCGTCTTTGTGGCCCTCCTCTGGACTTGCTCCAACAGCTCCATGTCTTTTTCTTAGTAGAGACCCCAGAGCTGGATGCAGTACTCCAGGTGAAGTCTCATGAGAGCAGAGTAGAGGGGCAGAATCACCTCCCTTGACCTGTTGGTCATGTTTCTTTTGATGCAGCCCAGGATGTGGTTGGTTTTATGGGCTGCAAGCACACATTGCCAGCTCACGTTGAGCTTCTTGTCCACCAACACCCCCAAGTCCTTCTTCTCAGGGCTGCTCTCAATCTATTCTCTGCTCAGCCTGTAGCTGTGTTCGGGATTGCCCTGACCCATGTGCAAGACCTTGCACTTGGCCTTGTTGAACTTAATGCGGTTTGCGTGGACCCATCTCTCTAAGCCTGTCAAGGTTCCTCTGGATGGCATCCCTTCCCTTCAGCATGCCTTTTGCTAAGAAAGGGGAGCAAATTTGGGAAAGACAAGCAGGTTGGGGACAATCTGAGTGCTTTTAAGGGGATAGGAAGTTGCTGTGCTTCTACCTCCATGGCCTGTGCATAAATAGAAATCTCCATTTTTGCCTTTCAGTTCAGCCTCCCTCAACAGGAAAAGGCTGCACAGGAGCAGGGTTAAAAGGTCCTGTTTGGTTACGTGCCAGGCCTTGCCTTGCCAGCTTCACAGGGCAGTATGATTCTGCCCTTTTGTGCCCCAGCCGTGAGTCTAGACAGTTGGTGTGTTTCCCACCCTGGCTGGCTGGTCAGCTGGCCACCTAGCCTTCTCCCTATTGATGCTGAGCGAGGGCAATTCAATGCACACTTTTCTTCTCCAATGCACACTTCTCCAAAGGACTAGAAAATTGGCTTAGAAGACTTCTTCCTTTCTTTCCCCTAACTGGGCAGAAATACCCTGGCTCATGCAGACACTTGCATTGCTGTAGTGAGTGCCCTCTCCCAGCCACCCCTTAGTCATGGTCCTTGGACAGCAACCTCGTTACACACGGACCCTGCTGCCAGCCACTTGCTACCTAATGAAGGCTGTGCATGTCCTAGAAAGACTGTGGCTGCTGCCACTGTTTATCTCAGCAGATCGGGCTTTTTTGGCAATGCTGAGACCACAACATCAAGGAGAGCAGGGACGTCCTTTGATGGCTTGAGGTGAAGGCACCAGGGGATACAAGGGTCAGCTGAGGTGTAAGGAAGTCCAAAGTGTCACAAAGACTCCTTGGAGCTGCTGAGCTCGTTCCCAGTGTATGAGACTAATTGGGCTTGGCATGTTGTGTAAACAGATCCGGAGGAAGTAAAGGGTCCATCCACCTGTGCTGTTCAGTGGGACTGGCTGAAACTCCTTTGAAATCTACTTTCAGCAGCTTGAAAAGTCAGAGTATACCATTTGTGGGGAGAGAGTTCATAAGAGAGATCTCTTGGAGGAGAGCAGCCTTGGGTTGGCATGATGAGCAGTCCAAATTGTCCTCATTTATGTGTATGTGGGTGGCTGATAAGGAAAACATCATTTTAAAGTATAAGGCAGAGAGTTTAGGTACATGAGTGTATTTCCAGTTACGCTACAAAGTCACTAAGTAGTTCTGAGCAAGTTGTGGAAACTTTCTGCCGTGGTTTGCATGCATGTATGAGTAGATAGTATCAATACTGTTGTCTTATGGATGCTTAATGAATTTTTTAAAATGCTTTAAGATGCTAGGATGAAAAAGGCCAGCACAGAAGAGAGAAACATCCTGTTCTAATACTTGGATTTCTCACTACAGACACTGCACCCCTTCGTTGTGTGAGTAGTTTCAGTGCACAATGGGTGAGTGGAACTTAGTCTTGGCTTGATGCTGAAAGTGACCTGGATGCAGTGTGAGCCCTGATCTGGGTTTAGCTATGTAATATTGTCCTGGTTCTGGCTAGGATAGAGTTAATTTTCACAAGGAGCCAGGACAGGTGAGCCACGCTGGCCAGGGGCTACTCCATACCATGTGAGCATGTGCTCACCACAAAAGGGGCCAGTCGGGGAGGGCCGGGCTTGGCGTGGCTCAGGGATAGTGTGGGTGTGGGCTGAGCCTCCGGTTGGTCCTCGGCCTGGTAAGTTGCTTTCTGTTATCACCCACTGTGAACATTCTGTTATCAGTACTGCTGTTGTTGTTTCCCTCTCCCTTGCTGTCTCATAACCTGTCCTTGTCCCAACCCACGAGGGTTTGCCTTTGTCTTTCCCA